TTAGAACTTTGGAGGGATGCTCTAGAATCCAAAAGTTTTAAATTAGTCAAACTAAGACAGAGTATATGGAGTGCAATTTTAGTTATAATAGAAGTAGAGACGAGGAAAAAGTCAATATTGATGGTCATAAAGTACAAAAAAGACCATACTTTTGATATCTTGGGTCGATAATCCAAGAAAATGGAAAGATCGATGAAGATTTCTTACACAAAATTAGAACTGGGTAGGCGAAGTGGTGATGTGTAGCTGGAATTTTATGTGATCACCGCATATCAATGAGGCTAAAAGGCAAGTTCTATAGGACAAAGGTGAGACCAGCTTTGCTCTATAAGGCAAAATGTTGGGTGGAGAAAAAAATAATACATCCATAGAATGAGTGTAGTGGAGATGAGGATGTTGAGATAGATGAGTGACCTGACAAGCAGAGATACAATTCAAAATAAATCGATTCAAGAGAATTTAGGTGTAGCACCAATAGACGATAAAATGAGAGAGAGTAGACTTAGGTGGGCTGGCCATATATGACGCCGACCAAGTGCAACACCTGTTAGGTGGTGCGAGTTAGTTCAAGTGGAAGGACTGAAAAGGCAAGGGGTAGGCTCAAATGGATGTAGTTGGAAGTAGTCTAAAATGATATGAGAATTTATGGCCTCACTGAGGATATGACCTTTACTAGAGCAAAGTGGATAATCATAATTCATATAACCGAACCCAGTTAATTGAAAAAGGCTAAAATGATGATGATAATGATGGCAGCTAGGGAGGCTTTAAGTAATCAAATCATACAAACTAATATTGTTGCTACATGTAAACACCCACTCAAGGAGGATTTGCTTGATTTGGAAATCTGGAAATCAAATAAAAATTATAAGAAAAATAATTTCCAGCATTTAGATTTGACTCTCCAGTGAATGGATGATGTAAGTTAAATTATCACGTTGCAACTATGGGTTTCTCTTAGTGTTGTAAGACCTCGATGCCCCTGAGCCGGTGATTCAAAGAAATATTAAAAAAATGAAATAGGAATTTATGGGGATGAAAAAAAACATAAGATAAGCATAAATAAGATAAAAAAAAAATGAAATGAGGTTTTTTTTTTGGGTGGGGCGGTGAACCACTTCAGTCATTGTCAATTCATGATTTGGATGGACAATTCGTATTCCAAATTAACGAATTTTCAAAAGACACTCTCTCTTAGAGGATTTTCAAGTTCCAAATTAACGAATTTTAAAAGACACTCTCTCTTAGAGGATTTTCAAGTTTGGTATGCCTTCAATTCACCAAGAAAAAATATTAGCATTATTTGGCCGGGGATAGTACTTAGCAATACAGTTAGACTTAATATCAAATTTTGCTAATATCAACTACTAACCCGTCATGCCGAACCTCAAATAACAAATGAACACTTTTTTTTTTTCCCGGTAGATTGGCAAGTCCAATTCTTAAAACCTGGACCATATTATTAAGGCATTTAATTTCTTCCTTGAATAAGATCTTTTTATTAAGAACTAAGAGAGAGTGTGTTCTTAAAACCTGGACCTTATTATTAAGCCTTCTTACAATCTGCATGCATAAGACAGGTGCGCTAAAGATCTGAACGTCGCGTGTTCGATCCCCGCTCACCGCAATATTGTGCAAATAAGCATTTTTTACATTTAATATTTACTTTTAGGGACTTTTATTTTTGCCCCAAAGGATGGAGTTTTTATGCAAATTTTTAGGGATTTATGATTTAGGCCTGATCATGAATATAATACAAAATAAAAAAAATTAAATTTCTTATTTATATTTTAGGGAATTTTTTTTGCACTGTTGATATAATATATTTTAGTCTTGTGGATTTTAGGAAATGTCCATCTTAATGATGAACGTTAGTGGGTCCGCGAGCGCTTATAAAACTTTTCCTTTTAAAACTGGGCCCATTTAGTTATCTATAGATAGCAACAAGCCGCCATATAAATAATAAAAGTAAAAAATAAAAACAAAATAAAAAACCCACATGGAGCATCGGGGACTCGAGACAAAACTAGAGTAAAAACAAAAACAAAAACAAAAAAAGGGATGATAAAGAAAGACCTCCACGTTGAATTATCAAACGATTGGACTAGACCAAAATTGTGCTTGAAAAAAAAACCAATCCATAAGTACTTTATCTTTCCTTTATTTTTAGTTTTTACGTTAGTAAGGTAATGTCCAGCCATCGTCGGAATGTCTTATTTTTTAGCAAACAAATGAGCTAATGCGGTCCAAGGATTTCAACTGCGGACTGCTTTGAAGAACACCAAAGAAGGTTGTTCAAAAATGGGTAAATTAGAACCGCCTTTGAATGTTTAACAAAGTCAACCTTTCAGGTTCGAGGATACAAATCTCGGACTGCCTTTGATTGCTTAACAAATTCAGTCTTTGCGGTCTGAAGATGCTAATCTCGGACCGCTTTGAAAAGCACCACAAAAGGCAGTCCAATGAAGCTAATATCAAATCGACTGGCCACAACCGTACTATTGAAAAAAGTCAAATAAAAAAAAACTAAAATGCGGATCAAGGATGGTATCCTCGGACCGAGAGGCAATTTGTTTAAAAAAAAAAAAATCTCAGGTTGATCGACATTCTGCCTAATTTTTACCCAAAATTGATTCATTTCATATTTTAATTTTTGTCTGTACATAATTCACTTTATAAAATTTTTGACTCTAGAAAGATAACACATGAAAATCTTGAAAATAGACGGTCAAGATAATATGCTGCAAGATATACTATTTTTAAGATTTGACATCTTTATTTTTTTAATAACCGTACATCTCGATGTCAAGAATAATCAATTAGATATCTTATCAATATCAAAATATCGAGGGATTTTTAAAGGGTGCGATTTGTATAGAGCCGAGGCTTTAAACAATCAAAGTAAAACACATGTTCAAATAGTGTCGAGAAATGTGGTTTCAATACTAAAAATCATTGTGATTATTAGCGTATGGATCTGTATCGTGTTAGTATTAATATACATCGTTATATATACATATCATATACATATGTATCTAAATGGGTATATATCTCTTGATAAGATTAGGTATCTACGCACCTCTTAATTAAAATAAGATTAGTTAGTAATTATCAATAAATGTTAGTATCTATCCAGAACTATTATTAACCATATATTTATACAGAGTCTTTATATTTTTAATTAATATACAGATAGTTCTCTGAGTATTTTGAATTCTATCATGGTATCAAAGCCATAGACTCATCAATCTCAGTTCTGAGCTCGCACTTCAGATCTGAGGTCGTTGTAACCTCGCATCGAGGCCCTAGATTCGTTCTTGAAATTTCAGTACCCCTCAGATTCATTCTAGAGGCCTCATATTTGTTCTAGAAATTTCTGACCCCTCAGATTCGTTCTAGAGGCCTCATTTTCATTCTAGAAATTTCAGTACCCATCAGATTCATTCTAGAAATTACAGTACCCTCCGAACCCTCCGCCGCTGTTATTGGCTCAGTTTCGTGCCAAAAATTCCAATCCTCTTTGATCAAGCAATCTGAACATGGCAACCACTACTTCTCTTGGTCACGATGTGCACCTAAAGATCACGACTCGTTTTTGCAGCTTAGTATTGTTCAAACTCCAACTGCTTTGTGTCAAAGCATCTTGAGTTTCAAGGAGGGGTTAACGTATGGATTAGTATGGTGTTAGTATTTATATACATCATTATGGATACATATCATATACAAATGTATCTGTATGGGTATATATCTCTTGATAAGATTAGGTGTCTAGGCATCTCTAGATTATGATAAGATTAGTTAGTAATTATCAATAACTGTTGGTATCCTGTTATTAGCTCTATATTTATAGAGAGTCTTGTATATTCTTAATTATCTCTTGATAAGATCAGATGTTTAAGCATCTCTTGATTATGTGTTAGCAATTATAAAAAATTGTTGGTATCCAAAACTGCTATTAGTCGTATATTTATACAGGGCCTTGAATATTCTTAATTAAATATAGAGAATTCTCTTCAGTATTCTTAATTCTATAAGTGATAGCCTTAAAGTATATTTTCATCTTTATTTATATAATTTAAAGCTTCAAAAATAGTGTAGATCGAGCAGATCTATGAAAATCTTGAAAATTGTTAGTCCAAAAATGCCTTACAAGATGCATTATTTTCAAAACTTGAGATCTTTTTTTTTCTCACGTCCATGCATCTTGATTTCAAAATGATCAATTTGAGTGTATTTGGGCATCAAAATAACCTCTTCTAGTGAAAATTTTGAGGTATGCTCTAATTTATTGTTTAGAGCCTTTTAAAAACTTTTTCCATTTTTAAAAGGGTGTGGTTTGTATAGAACCAAGGCTTTAAACAATCAAAGTAAAAATGCACCATCAAATAGTGTCAAGAAATATGATTTCAATACTGTAAATCTTTGTGATAGCCTTAAAATATATTTTCATCACTAATTATAAAATTTAAGGCTTCAAAGCTTCAAAAATAGTGTAGATTGAGTAAATCTATGAAAGCTTGAAAATCTTGAAAATTGACAATCCAAAAATGCATTACAAGATACACTATTTGCAAAACTTGAAATCCATTTTTTTCTCATGTCCAGGGATCTTGAGGTTGAGATGATCAATTTGAAGATATTTAGGCATCAAAATAACGTCCTCTCATGAAAAATTTTAAGCACCTTAATTTGATTGTTTAGAGCCTTGCACTTATATAAACTTTTTTCTTTTTATATAAACTTTTTTCTTTTTAAAAAATGCACCTTTATTCTACATTTTTGACGTGTAAACCTTATCTAATTCCCCTCCCCCCTTTTTCTCCCACTGGAGGCGAGTGTCATGCCATATATTGCCTGCAAGCAAATTATGTCATCCTATTTCGATTGGATACTACTCCAAAATATTTACACTAGTAATGCACTATTCCCATACAACAGAGAAGTTATTTTGTACAATCACAAATACACAGTCCAGAGGCGGAGGTCAAAAACACAGTGAGGAGTCATGGTGGGGAGGAAGTGCAGAGAGAGAGAGCATTATGCAAAAGTAGTTGATTCGTTCCTCAATGTTGCCGATGTGGCATACGAACAAACACTCCTATAATAATGCTTTCTTTAACCCGTCCTTGCACGGCCACAACTCAATGTGAATCTCATCCAACCCCAAAATCTGATATATTTGATGCCCTTCTTCTGCTTTCCCTACTTGAAGTCCCTCTCCCTTTCTCTCTCTCAATGCAAAAACAAGAGCACCAACATTAAAGATGTAGAGAGATTGGGGAGAGAGAGAGAGAAAGAAAGGCACCAGTCCCCGCATCTTCTTCTCCTTGGCCGGATGGGATTGATGGAAGGGGAACCCGGGGATCAATAGAAGGGGAGCCCCGCGGAAGAGGCAGCGCCCGACTCATCACCGATCTCTGTGAGGAGATCATCATCGCAGCCCAGCTCCGCTGTTAATGGACCGAGGAAGTAATGGGCTCCTGATGATTCATTCAAATGACCACCATAACCACAAATGGGCAGAGCAGCAGTGGCATTCGAGGAAGATGGGCAGTCGAGAGCAGTATCCATCGGTGGGGGAAGAGGTGGAGGATCAATAAGGCGAGGCTTCTTAGGACTGGTGAGGCTGTTGCTTTGCAGGTGACGGAGATTGGTGAGGATGTCGGGGTTGTCGACCACACTGGCAAGGAATGCAATCATTTGGTGAGGCCTCTTCTCGGTCACAGAGAGGCGTCGGCTCATCACTTCGACCTCCTCGTCCATGGCATCCTCGTTCGGTCTTATACGAGCGAGGTCCATTAGGATGATATCGTTGTCCTGATTCAGCCTCTCCACCTGCTGCTCCAAAGCCCATGAATGAAAATGTTGATGTCGGCGTTGGTTCCTCTTCCTGATGATGTTCTTCAGAAGTGGCGTCTGCCCCCTCAGGAACCACTCGTGTGCAAATTCCCACTTGTCCGGATTCACTTTCCGAAAGCCCTGCACACATATGGAAAACAGTTAAACTGAATTGAATTCAATGAGTTGAGATGAGATGGAGTAGAAATTGTAATGGAGTGAAGTTAGATAGGTGTTGAGTTGTCTAAGGAAGCTGGAGAAATTGTTGTGGTTGAAGTAGCGGGGGAGGAGGTGGTTAGAGAGGTGGAAGAGGTTGAGGACGAGGAAGGTGTTGTTTGCAGGGGTCCATGAAATGAGGTCATCAGTCGCTGGATCGCTCACCATCTCATATGTCTTCAGGATGAAGGGTGCTACGGGACCGCTCCACTCCCGTAACACACTCTCATAACCACCTATTTTAAATTTTAAGAGACAAGAATGAGACTTTCGTTGATGGCATTCATCTTTTTAAGAGGTTATGAGATACACTTATGTATTGTTATCCCTTGATTCATATACAAAAATAAAAAAATGCGGGAGACTTTCATTGATCACACTCTCTCTTGAGTTTGCGTATATCTTTTGTGGGAGTCTCCACTGCAGGAAAAAATGAAAGCTTTCTTTTGCATAAATTTTTCTTGCAGGAAAGAAAAAGAGAGAAAAAGTTACTTTTTTTTTAGAAAAAAAAAGAAAAAAATGAAGCTTTTTTTTGCATAAATTTTTCTTGCAGAAAAGAAAAAGAGAGAAAAAATTACTTTTTTTCTAGAAAAAAAAAAAAGATAGATAACATTTTGTTTTATTTACATGTTTTCCCACTCATACATACAGATCTAATTTGACATACTTTTTTAGCCTCATATTTCTTGGTTCCGCATAGCATATCCGCATTCATATGGGCTCGGCTCGATAAGCCTAATAGATAAGGCAACTGGCATTCGTACGGGCTTGGCTGGATAAGCCCAATAGATAAGGCAACTGGAAAGCCCCAGATCCCTTCTTTCACCAAAACATGCTCTCTTTATCTCTCACCCAAAAAACCCCGGTCTCCTTTCTTACCCAAAACTGACACAGACACTCCCTCTTTTATCTTCCTTCTCTCTCGCCTCTTGTTGCTTTCTATCTCTTTCTGTTCCACCTCTCCCACCCAGAAATATACACGCGCCCTACCACTATCTCTTTGCATAAACCAACTCAATTCTCATAAAGAATCTCAAAACACTCTTCATCTCTCATGGCTCAGGCTTAGCCTGAAATTTTAGCCAAAAAAACCTTCAAATAATGGGTATAGCCTGAAATCCATTAAAAAAAGGAATTGCATCTCATTGAGTCCCAACTATTAGTTCATGGATGATATGCTAGTTTCTCCCGGCCTTTACGAATCAAAACCCCCCAAATAAACCAGGAAAAAGGACCAATAAAATCATTAGGACAATGTCATGGTGAGGATTCTCGAGAAAAATCGCTTGTGACTCATCACTTTCTATCCTAGTTCTTCGAATAATCTCCTTGCTGATTCAAAATCGTGCTTTAATTACAACTTATCAATCATTGAATTCTACGAATCCTAGCTTGATGGCTATTATGCCATGAAGATCTCAGAGAAAAGGAGAGGCGACTGGTTCGCCCTATCTCTAGATGTATGTATAATCTGCAAAACCTATTTATATGGATGGTGCAGATCTCAGAGCCTACAGCATAAGGCGCAAGCTCTAATGCATTAAAAAAAACTTTGCGTTGAAACTATTGAACCGAAATGTGACATCTTGCTTGTACTTCAACGAAATATCCTTTGTACATCGGAAAAGGACGCAATTCTACATTAGCACCCCGTGGCACATAGATCATCTATCTTAAACATGGATGCAAAAGAGTGATGCTCCCACTAAAAGAATAACATTCACGGTATAAAATTATTCCATAAAATGTATTTTTATTACTTTTTTAAAAATATCTATAAATTTTATTTTTTATGCATTAATGATCTCCATATTATGGATTATATGAACTCGTATAAATCGTGTCCCTACTTAAATGTCAAGGAAATCTTACTATAGATGTGATGCAAATAAAAATTAGAAAAAAAAATTTAAATTTATAAGTTTATTATTTTTTTGAATTTTTTTGGTTCATGAGTTTTAGTAGGGCTGAATATTCAAGGAGGAAGGCCTATCTTTTGGTTTAGGAAATAAATCTTTTGAGAAAAGTAAAGATTATGTTTTATTATCTTTTAGAAAGAGAAGATAGCATGAGACTTAAGGAGATCTAGATACGGTAAAAATGGTTTAGGTATGATAAATGTGAAAAGGAGATAAATAAGGGGGAGTTGAAAAGTTGTTGGGAGATTAGAAAGAGCCGTGATGAAATCTAGAAAATAGGGAGCTTGGGAAAAAACATGAAAGTTAGAGATAAAGAGAGAGTGTTTTATGCATTTTTTTTATTTCTTATTTTGTATTTAAAAGAAAGAGTCTCTCATTGTAAAGATCATATAATGAGAATTGAGTAAATTTGATCGTGTGAAAAAATCATTTTTTTATCTTTTTGGGTGAATTACATTGCAGACTTTGAGAGATAGTATATTATTTCAACTTTTTTTTTTTTAAAGAAAAAAAATTCCAGTTTTATTTTCTTTCTACATCAGTTGGTATCAGAGCAAGTAAGATCCAATCCAACTTTTTTTTTTCTTTTTTTTTTTTGCAATAATCCCAATCGCTTGGGACAAGCTTTAGAAAGTTTGACCAAAGTCATAGAAGATGTTCGAACCAAATTTCGTGAAATGAATCAACGATTACAACGTCTAGCAAACAATATAATCTCAATCGCTTGGGACAAGCTTTAGAAAGTTTGACCAAAGTCATAGAGGATGTTCGAACTTAATTTCGTAAAATGAATCAACAGTTGGAGAACAATATTTATCGCGAAAAGGGTGCTTGCAATCATGAAAATTCGCCGTCGAATCTCACTATAGATATGAATCGAACTCCTCGACCGACCAGGGCTGCTGATTCACAACGTTAAGAACAAATCTGCAAACAAGATACACATCTTATATAATGTCTACGAGATTTCAATATTCAAGTGGATCTCCCTCATCAATTGTATATGGTGCTTCTTTGGAGCTGGACTCATTCCTGGCTAAGAATAATCAGCCCTAGCTCGTATTCAACAATTACTCTTGGAATACAGTCGTAGGCAAATAGTCTTACATCAATCTTAAAGAAATCATTAAAGAAAAAATGCCGAGGCGCATGGTGGGACTACATAACCAATTAATAGATAGTGATAGGCTTCAAGTATAAGGTGGAGCTTCTCCCAACTCCAAAATAATAATGCAGATAAATTTAAGAAAAAAAATTCAAAAATATAATTTTATTATTTTTTTGAATTTATAGGAATGAAGAATTTGGTATGTGAGTTTTCGTAGGGCGTGAGTTTTCACCCAAAAAAGCACAAGATAGCATGAGATTGAAGGTGATCCAGATATGGTAAAAGGATTTTAGGTAGGATAAATATGAAAGAGAAATAAATAAAGAGGAGTTAAAAAGTTAATAGAGAGAAACATGAAGAAAGAGAGAAAATAGGGATATGAGGTGAGAGAAAATAGGGACCTTTGGAAAAAACATGGAAGTTATAAGGAGAGAGAGTTTTATGATTTTTTTTATTTTTTATTTTGTACTTAAAGGGAAGAGTTCATTATTGTAAAGATCAGAGAATGAGAATTGAGTAAATTTGATCTTGTGAAAAGATAATTTTGGGGTGGATTTTCTTACAAAATTGAGAGAGGATATATTCATTCAACCATTTTTTTTATTATTATTATTCCATTTTTATTTTCTCCTTATACCAATATGTCAAATGGAGGGCAACCATTTGACATGTTGTAAAGATCATTTCTGCTTTTGTGGATCAAAAATCTATAAGCACCATAGCCTTTTGTTAGAGAGAGAAAGTGGCCGAAAGAAATTTTGCTTGATGGAAACTCTGTTAACAAAAGTTCTATTTGAAAGTGAGAGCCATAAGTAATTTATAGAGAGAAGGTGTCTTTTCGGTTTTGGTAACTAACTCATGTAATAGTTATTGTAGCTGCACATTGAGGATTTGTGGCACTCTATTGGGAGAGTTATTTTCTCTTTTTCGAAGCTGAATAAAATCAACGTTATGAAGCTATCTTACTTGGTCAAAGATCTGTTCATATGTTGTACATATATTTGCATTGACATCATGGAGTCACTCGCAACAATATGGATGATAGCACAGTGCCACATAGCAAGAGTATGAAAACCGGCTCTAGACACCACCGACTCTATCTACCACAGAGGATCACGCACATCAATAATCGAATGAGTTGGGAGTGGTCCAGTTCCACCAAATATTGAGAACCGGCTGGTACCCGTTAAGGACTTGTATGTTCAGTGACAAGTTAGAAAATGGTTGGATGAAAAAGGGGTAAAAGGTAGTACAAATCGAGAAAATCAATGTTTAACTATACGCATGAACACTATCTCAATATGATATTTATCCCCTTTCGATATTATATTTAGTCTGCATAAGAAGGGCAATTGGTTCTCACTATACAAAAAAACATAAAAGTCCATTTGATGTTCCAAAGCCCTATGCAACTGAGTTTGGACCCACATATCAGCCACCAAAGTCTTGATGTTATAGAGAGAAAAAGAAGAGACAAAACTGAGTACAGAGAGAAAGTTGAGTTCACAAAATTGCTCCCTGGAAATTTCATAGATAAAGTTGTTGCATATGTTTGTCGACAGGCTCAAAGAACAGTTTTTAGTGTTTAACTCATATGGGTAGGAAGAGCCCTTACTACAGAGCACCAAGAGGCTGCCTATTTAGTGTGGTGGTGGTTACATTCACCACTAACAACTATACGTTACGTGCACTTGCTCATTTAATATAGTGGTAGTTACATGTAACACCAAATAGCTACAAGTTATGTGCACTCGATAGTTGTTGTTACTAGCTTCTATTTCATCAATGGCTAGAAGACCGTCGGATGTCCCACAGGCATCAACAGCTAGATGACCATTGGCTATCCCACATGAATTCGGTTTACAAAAAGCTACCAAGGCTCGAGCCCGCCCTATACATGTGCTCGAGCGAGTGCACCATCAAGCGTCATCGCCCTCGTGTGTGCGCGTCGCACGCTTCCTGTGCTCCATACATGCGTCATCTCTCTCATCTTGTACTAAGAGTACAAGGCATGAGAATGCCTAATTTTAGTTATTTCTCATATAACTCCTTTTTCTTCAAGGTGGGATTCAAACCTACAATTTCCTCGCTCTATAAAAACAGCTTAGAAAAAGCTACAAAACCATATTGTTGTTTTAAAATACACAAAAGTATTTTTCAAATCAAAATACCAACCTAACAAAACTGGCCACTTCAATAAGGAAACAGGTTGATCCAAACCCACATTTTATCTTTC